AAGGATCATTTGTTGGTGAACCTCAACTTGTGTCTTTATGTCAAGCATTTGTTCATTTAGCTTATCAAGGTTGCTTTTTGTTTCTTGATGATTCTTCTGCACATTTCTTGCATTAATTGTAAGGTTGCATGCATCTCTTTTTGGAGGTTGTTTGGCTTCTCTTGTTGTAACATTGCTTCAATAGATCCCTGACTTGCTGGACTGGATGTTCCAGAAGAGGGCGCAGAAGCAGGGTTTTTTGTAATTTTAGTGAGATTTTGTGCACTCATTGTACAATCAGGCAAATTTTGTAAATCCACAGTAAGAAGAGGGGGGGGGGAAGCCAACTGCTTTAGGCTATAATCCAACTTTAAAAAGGAGCCAACTATTTTAGGCTGTAATCCAAGTTTAAAAGGGAGCCAACTGCTTTAGGCTATAATCCAGGTTTAGAAAGGAGCCAACTGCTTTTTAGGCTAATCCAAGTGTTTTTTTTTTTTTTTTTTAAAGCCAACTACTTTAAAATGTTCCTTGTTGAGAAAGAATTTTATATATAATACATAAAAACTTAACTTTTCTTTCTGACACCTACTCCGTGGGCAAAATTATTAGGCAAGTTGTATTTTGGAGGATTGATTTTCTTATTGAACAACTGCAGTGCTCTCAGTCAATCCAAAATGTTAATAAATCTCAAACCTGAATATTTAAGAAAATAAAAATGAGGTTTTGGCTTTCTTAGGAGAATATCTATATGTGCACAATTATTAGGCAACTATTAGTGTACAGAATTATGGAACTAAATGAAAAATTAAAATTTGCCCATCTTTTATTTGCATCGGTTAAAGTGAGAATAACAAACAACTCAAAATGTATAAACATTTCTGACATTTCAAAAAAAAATCAGTGACCAATACAGCCACCCGTCTTTTCAATAACAGTCATAAGCCTTTCATTCATGGAGTCTGTCACTTCCTTGATCTGTTGACGATCAGCATTTTGTGCAGCAGCAACCACAACCTCCCAGACATTGTTCAGAGATGTATACTGTTTTCCTTCACCGTAAATCTCCCATTTAAGAAGGGCCCACAAGTTCTCAATAGGATTTAGGTCAGGTAAGGAAGGGGGCCATGTCATTACTCTTTCATCTTATTCTTTTCATGCCTTTACTGGCTAGCCATGCAGAGGAGTACTTTGATGCATGCGATGGAGCATTGTCCTGCAAGAAAATCATGGTCTTGAAAGATGCAGATTTCTTCCTGTACCACTGCTTGAAGAAAGTGTCTTCTAAAAACTGGCAGTAGGTTTCAGAGTTGATTTTGAGTCCGCCTTCAACCTGAAAAGGTCCAACTAGTTTATCTTTAATAATACCTTCCCTTGTACCCCATCTCCACCTTTCTGGCATCTGAGTCGAAGTGGAGCTCTGTACCCATTACTAATCCAACCACGGGCCCATCCATCTGGTCCATCAAGAGTCATTCTCATCTCATCAGTCCATAAAAATGGACTGTGAAATGGACTGTGAAAAATCTGTCTTCAGATATTTCTTGGCCCAGTCTTGCCGCTTCAACTTATGTGATGGTTAGGTTTAGTGATGGTTGCGTTTCAGCCTTCCTTACCTTGGCCATGTCTCTGAGACTGAACACCTTGTACTTCTGGGCACTCCATGTAGGTTGCATTTCTGGGATATGACAGCACTGGAGGATAATGGATTCCTGGTAGCTTCACTTTGGATTCTTCTCAAATCTTTGGCAGTTAATGTGCATCTCTATTTCTCAATGAACGAATGTATTAAAATCTAATTCTTTTATCTTAATGTTTATAGAACAACCGTGAAACATTATTTGTTATAAATTCATCTATCATAAGAATTAGTTTGCTTGTCTATTGTACTAGCCTTTCATTAATAATTTGTAGGAAAATATTCCTATAGTAAATTGTTAGATCACTTTATTAACACTACCGTTCTCAGCATATCTGAAAGAAAACCTTATTCGGATTTAGTTAGCATGTCAAAAATTGAGCTACGTTGTATTTAATTTTAGCAGATTAAGTTTTCAGTGCAGATTGTTTGCAAGATTTTTGTAGAAATGTAAAGAAAATTTAACTGTGCTTCATGTTTGTCAACTTATTGGCATAGGTTGTTCATATAAAAATAAATATAAATATGTTTCTACTAATGATAATTAATTTAATAAATCAATTTTTAAATGGTTGTTCTAGAATGAGAACTGTTTTTGATAAGCTCAAGGATTTAACTTAATAAATCATTTCATAATCTTATTCTACTATACTGATACTTTTTCCATCTTAAAAATATGCATTTTATTTAAATGTAGCATATTCAATTTAGAATATAGCAAAACATTTGCTATATTTACATTTTCCTTACTCATTTGCTTCCTAATAAAATTTTTTACCATTGAAGTGCTTTTTCTTGTCTCCACATTTCTATTTACAAAGAAAATGTTATATTGCTACTTAACTAGATATAACATACACCTTCAATTTCCAGTAGAGTAATAATAGTAGCCTAATTATTGTCAGTAGATTCACTGTTTATTTGTTTCAAGTGTGTTTCCTAACAGTTAACAGTTTCTTTAAAATGATTTTAAGACTAGACATATTTTATTTCTACTATTTTTGGATATAATAAACGTACCATTATAAGTCAAGAACAGCTTTTTTAATTAGTTAATACAGTAAATAACGACTACACAATTGTAATAGTAGTTGGGGACGAGAATATACTTTTATCAAGAGATCTTTAGAATTTCCAGAAATAATCACAATCCTAATAAATATATACGAAGTGCCAAAGAATCCAGACATAGTGACTTCTGACCCACTGGCATTTTTTTCTCAAAAAGCTTTGAATATTGTGTGTTCAGTGATAATTATAAAATATATTTTAGTACAGATTTGTCTCCTTCCTAACATTACAGTTTTTTACGTACTGGGTGGGGGACTACATGGTTGGTCATAGGTTACAATACAAATAATGATGATGATTTTAGAAAAAAAAATTCTCCTTTTTTAATGCTGTGGAAGCACGGCATTAAAAGGAGGTCATTCTAATTTCTATTGAAGTACTGAGGAGAAATGAGCAACACTTGAAAGAACTAATTTTTAAAAACAATATTGATTTCAAATTAACTGGGTTTCACTTAAGTACCTTTTATATGACTAAAAATTAAAAGGAATATCAATATAATATATTTGTAAACAAAAGCATATTAAACATTGTGCATGTTAATACATAAAATATGAATCATAGTTATTTAGAATTAAACTGAACAAACTATAAAAACATCAGCTATAATTTGTTGATTTAAGTGGATTTAATGCTACTGCAATTTCTGATTCTTTTCCCTCACTTCCCAATTTATAATAGTTGAAGAAAATGTATTCAGATGTTTAATAGCAGTGACTTACTGCAAAATATAACTATATGGTTTTGGTTCTCACTGTAAATTTGTGATAAAGATACAGCAGTGTTTTGGGGTGAGTATTAGCACAAATCTTAATTGAGGACATTTTAAGTCAGGCATGTCAAACTGCCGGCCCGCGGGCCAGATGCGTCATGCCAAAACAGCACCCACCCCATTGCCGGCAATAGGGAAAAAGTTGCAATACGAGTTTGACACACCTGTCTTAAGTAATTCAATTTCCTCTTGTTAAGGACAAGTTATACATGGATATGTAAACTGAACCCATTTTGAACAGAATCAGAAATCATTCTGCAGTGCTAATCTGATCTCTTTCTTTTCTAGTCCTTTTGGTCTGTACTTTTGAAATACAATAAGTGGAATTACATAACTCAGGTTTATATTGAATACGTTGAACACAGACCTATTGAATCAATCTCAGAATCTAATTCACTTATATTCATAGATTATATTTTCCTGATTGACTATTGTAACGATCTGCAAAACTTAACAGACTCCTTGGTATATAGTGCATGCTTAATAATGGCTAAATTTCCTTAAAAGCTTGGTCAAAATAAAAGGGTGATGTTTTGTTTTGTGAAGGACACAATAAAGAACATTGTTTAAGTTCTGTAAATGAAATATTTTGGTTGTCACTGGCTAGCTACATGATTCTTGAATGTTTGAGGTTTGTCTCCAAGAATACCTATGGAATTTTCCCCCCAAAAGGCATACTGCCTTAAGACTTACACATTCTATTAGTTTCATTATTGTGGAAAGGTATTTTTCCTATAACTATGGCAAATCCATTTTAAATACAATACTACTTAATCAAATGATTGTTGCCACATCTGACGAGGTATTTTCTAAATTGTATATTTGAGAGAAGTTCGGAGAATGTTGTATTGATAGGATTAAAAACCAAATTGTTGGAAGTTTCATGTTTCATTAAAATAGCCACTAAATTTGTCTTCCTTAAAACGTAGACTTGCTGCAGCTTTGCAGTTCAGTATGATAATACATTAGGATTTCCACTTTAGAGCTTGTTAATTCTTTCTTTAAAATGTTAGAATGTCCTTCTCTCTTTATTCTTTGAGTCAAAGCAGGCTGTTCTCACTTTCAGTATTTAGTACCTTTTTTTTTAAGTAGATTTGGAAGAATTTTATAGCTGTAATTCTGGTGAGGATTCTAATCTTGTTTGTATCTTCTTTGTGTAGGGAACTGTTAAATACCCCTACCATTCAGCAAAGCAGGCAAAATTATCAATAAGTAAGGCTGCTTTCATAGAAAAGATGTGATTATTTTCTTGCTAGTAATGGAAGAATCATTCTTTTGTTTAAGCGTTGAGTTTCTGCCCAGATTTAGTAGGGAAGGATTTAGTTTTTTTTCTCCACTAGACGTTTAAATAATTACATATTCTACAGCAGCTCAACACTGAAGCTTCATCTTTATCATCGTCCCATTCTCTTGATAGAAAAACAGTTGTAAATGCTTAGAGAGCCACCATCTTTCACTAAAAACAGCATCTGTTTCTAACTTCAGCTTTTTATTTTCTATCTTTCATTTTCTTTTTTCTTTTTTTGTTGATAAATCTCCCAGACAACAACAGTTCTGTAGAGAGTTTAAATATGAAGGAATGGCAGGACGGGCTAAGGGCACTTCTACCGAACATTAACATCAACTTTGGTGGACTGCCCAATGCTACTTCCCCCTCCAACGCCAACCACAGTGTACCAACGTCCAACACTGCCACAACCGACAGCCTGAATTGGGACAGCCCTGGGAGCTGGATGGACCCCGCAATCATCACAGGTAACAATTTCTCGCTCATTCAGCTCCATTGACAATTATCAAGTGCATATTTGGCACAAATTAATCAATACATCTTTTTTGGAAAAAAAAATGCGGTGGTCTCTTCCAGCTTCCATCTACCAACTTTCAAGAGGCCCAGAAATCTTAGAACAAATGAACATTAATACCCCACAATCTTTTCTTTTGCATGCCTAGCATCTTTCTTAGCATATTTGAGGTTTCTGTCGGTTCCCACATCAACTGATGGCATGCAATTCTGTGCAGTATAATTCATATGCTACTGAATTTTAACTGGATTATTTTTTTCATTAAAAAGGGACATACTCCACTGTTTATAAAGCTCTCTTTATAAGGCTGTTTTCCTTGTAATGGTTAATTAAGATTTGGAGAGGTAGAAAGGGAAGTAATCGTATATCATTATGGAAGAATGTCTGGGCAAGTGTGAAAAATCATCTTAAGGGACAAATGTTCTCCAGGAAAACTCAGCTTCAGTTGTGTTTGAAAAATTGTATTCATAATCATTTCATTTCTGCAAGCTAATAATTGTTTTTTCTGATCTTGCTACTGGTTAAATTACACTGTCCTACTTCATATGTGTAGTTCATGCTTGCTTTGAATAATCTATGTCTCCTGTGTTTCTCTTCTTCCTAGGTATCCCAGCCTCCACTGGAAACAGTTTAGACTCTCTTCAAGATGACAATCCACCACATTGGCTAAAGTCTCTTCAGGCTCTCACAGAGATGGATGGCCCCAGTGCTGCCCCAACACAGACCCCCCACAATAACCCCTTCAGCACACAAATTCCATTGCACAGAGCCAATTGGAACCCATATTCTCCTCCTTCAAACCCTGCCAGTTTCCACTCTCCTCCCCCAGGCTTTCAGACAGCTTTCAGACCCCCCAGTAAACCCCCCACAGATTTACTACAGAGCTCAGCGTTGGATCGTCATTAGGAAAAGTACAAAAACATTAGAAATGCAGGAATTGCTCCTCCCAGACTTCCTGTACTCACCTATGGCCCCTTTCATAATTTTCTTTCTGAAGAATCTGGTTCCTGATCAAAAATCTTTCCCAACCAGCTTCCAAATGCAATGCAATCACAGGGTCATAACTATTTTTTTTCTTATGTTTTGCTGAGTCGGTGTTTGAAATACACTGTTTAAAAACTATTTCTTTAAACACACTAAGAGAAAAATCAAAGTGCATAATATTTTCATGAAACCTTTGCACATAATTATTTTAGCCTAGCAGAAAAATGTCATGTTGACAATAGAGGAAAATAATACAAAATCCAGTGCAGAGATACATTGAGGAAAAGCAGTGGCCTAACTTTCATGTTGCATTCTGTGAGTTGATTATACAGGGAAATACTTTTTTTCTTTTTTCTCTTGAAGAGGTGGGAAAGTTTTGGCATAAAGTAGGTGAAAGACAATTTGCCTATAGAAATAACTGACATGTTGGTAAGAAATGATTTAACGGGGAATTTTTAAAAGTTTTGGCTTTAGATTTCAAATAAATATAATGTTTTAAAAGTATCACAGATTTAATACCTAGCATATACATAATATAAGCAGCTGAAACACGAGTGATATTCACTTCAATCTTTCTGTCTTCTTGTCAGTCTCTTTTTTTTAATCACCTGATTAAGACACTCTGAGATAGCACTGCATTGGGGCCACAAGATCATCATCAGGAGCGCAACCTTTGACGACCTCTGCCTGCAGCTTTTACCTAACCTTGTAGTTTCTGGACGTTTGTGCAGTATTGAAAGACAGGGAAGAAAAGAAACATAAAATTAAATGTGGTTATAACCTGACGCTAAAACTAAAAACAAGGAAATGTACCTCTTTCTTCAGAATTAAAACTAAAATCTTAAATAAAACAGAAAACTTGATGACACCTTTTTGTGAATTCTCTCTTTTTTCCCCCTGTTTTATGTATATATCAATTTCTGTGATAAAGTTTCCAAAAGATTCTTGAGGCTGTGTACTCCCCATGGAGCATTTGATGTCCTTACCTTAACACCATTATTTATATTTATGTCATGTCTCATTTTTATTTTCTCAAATAAATGTTATGCCTCCCTCCCTGACAATTCTTTCTCCTCTGCTTTTAAAGTCAATTTTTTTTAATTTAAACAGACCAAACTGTCTTACTAGATTATAACTGGTATTTTGTAGAATATTCCTAATAGTCATACGTTATTGGAAGTTGTAGCTTCATTTTAAACATCATGATTTAACTTAATATATTTAAAGATCATAAACCTTGGCAACTTTAAGTGGGGTGGACTTCAACTCCCAGAATTCCCCTGCTGGCTGGAGAATTCTGAGAGTTAAAATCCACCCCTCTTAAATTGGCCAAGATTGAGAAATACTGCACTACCTTAATTAGACTTCATATTTTAGAAATTAAAATGACTTGGTGAATTAAAAAACATTTTACCCAGGGAGGGAGTTTCGCAAGCTGAAAAGTGCATTTATTAACTTCATACAAATACAGAAGCCACAGAAATACAAAGAAGTAAGAAATTGGCATTTCCTTCAGAGAACAAATACTGGTATTTGCCTTTTTCCCCCTTCTGCATATCAGTGTGTACTATAGGAGATAATCAAGAAGTTTGAATCGTAAAGGCTTGGCTCAGATATATTTTTAGTCTGATAACCTCTGTGCAATATCATCCTAGGAACAAGCTGTATCTGAACTATCTTATCTTTCCAGCTTCATGTACTTCATGCATTCTACTTTTAACAAAGCTATCAATTTCTGAAACTAGTTTTCTGTGACATCTGAATCAGCAAATGCTGATTTTAAAGAATCCATCAGAATATAAAGTTGGGAGCATAGCAAGAGGTTGGAAGCTATTGTTAACTGGTCGTTAACTAGAAATTTTGGAAATTTTTCAGTCCTTCCTCCATGAAGTTGTTAGTGGGACTTTTTGGTTCTGGTATGCCATTACTCTTTACCAAATGAAGAAGTACTAGGATAGAATGGAATTACTAGGACTAGGACTATATGGAAACATAGTTTCTTCCTAGGCTGGATTAGGCTTCCTAGGCTAAATAAACCATGGTTCAGATCACTTGAAGATCTTCCCACATATGCAGTTATACAATAGCAAATTATTGCGTTGATTCTGAAACTTAATAAAATTTGGAAGTACATAGAGTATTGGCCATACAGGTAGTCCTTGACTTACAACAGTTTGTTTAGTGACCATTTGAAGTTATAACAGCACTGAAAAAAGTGATTTGTGACCATTTTTCACATGACCCTTTCAGCCTTCCTTTGTTCAGGTAATCAAAATTCAGACGTTTGGGAACTGACTCATATTTATGAGAGTTGCACTGTCCTGGAGCCATGTGATCACCTTTTGCGATCTTCTGACAAGCAAAGTCAATGGGGAAGCCAGATTCACTCAACTGCTGTGATTCACTTAACTGTGGCAAGAAAGGTCAAAACTTACTTAACTGTCTCACTTAGCAACAGAAATTTTGTGCTAAATTATGGTCATACATTGAGGATTACCTGTATATTCTGTATCAAAGAGTGTTCAATAAAAAACCTTCAGGGTGCAAGCTATTATTGTGCACAATAAAAATTTAGACTGGCTCAATGATGAGGTGATTTATTAGTTTGTGGCACTGCAGGAAACCTAACCAAATGTACAGTACAATTTTATAGGTTTCAGGTTGATGCATTTACTGCACAGAGTCTAAATAGCTTATGTTGGTGCACTTAGGCTTCTAAGTATCAAAACCTGTGAGTTAGTGACATTGCTTCTTTTAAACCTACAGGGTGTCACCCATCTTCATTTGTAACATTTCATAAATTGTTGACATTGTTCTTTGGGTTGGAAAGGGCAATTGATTGCTATTTTTTCATAATTAAATAACTAGATGCTGACTCCTTTATAGCCTTCTTATAAAAAAATAAGTAGGAGCTCTGTTAGCCAGGATAGATGGGGACCTATGTATAACTCAAACACTTCTACTTTGTGTCTTATTGTTGAAGTCTTATCCTCTGTTGCAATTTGAGCTTTTTTTCAAGGCTTTTGTTGGGTTGACATGTCCTCATTAAAGAATATTGGATATCCCAGTAAAGATACCCTCTATCAGAGTTGCATATTTCCCCCCCCCCCCAAAAAAATTGAAGGTTCTTGGTGACCACCTGGACTAGCCCCTTCAGTTTTCTTCTTGGCAAGATTTTTGGAAATGGTTTGCCATTGCCTCTCCTAAGGCTGAGAAATAGTGACTGGCCTAAGGTGACCAGCTGGGTTTATGCCTAAGAACTCAACAATTCTATTCAAGAGTGAATAATAACCAACAGTTTTCTGGTGGGGTCAGATATATTTCTTTTTGGAATGAAATCTGATTGATTAGACTGCATAATTTCCCCATAATTAAATTGAAAAGTTTGACTAGTAGTTTAGTATATTATTTATAATAAATATTATGGAGGGAGATAAGTCTGTAAGAAGATAATGCTAATGAATTGTTGTGTGATTTAGGAATTAAACGTATTTTAGAATTGCACTAGCAATGAGAAGAAAATTACCTTAATGACAAAAATTCTCATTTAATAATATTTTTAAATGCCTTGTAGAACTTACCTGTTAGAACCTGGGAATTTTCTACTTTCAATATTTTTTTTTAAAAAAACCTAAACTTCTAATTGTAAAAATGAGTCCAAGTTCTCAGCACCAGAAAATTTAGGTTATCTAATATTTTTTTTCTGTCATGAGGTTTTTAGAAGTTTTAGTTTGCAAACTAGAGTTGCCTTTAGTAAAGTGAATGGCACACAAGCTTGATAAATAAACTTTTAAATATTTTTTTTAGTATTTGTGATGATGTGACCGTTAGTATCATTTATTGCTTTTATATAGCACTTTCCTTTACCTTTTGGAAGCTTATTTGCCAATCATCTTGAGTTTTTATTGTCAAATACATAATATTTTTGATTTAAATATAAAAAATGAGCTAATAATTTGGACAGTTTCTAAATATTAAGCCTTTTCCTTTTCTTAATGCTTAGAATGTATATACTAATTAAGTCTGAATTTTATCCATATATTTTTTAAATTCTGAAGATAATTCCTGAAGATCCATTTTGGTTTAGTGGTTAGGACACCAGGCTGGAAAGTGGGAGACCATGAGTTCTAGTCTCACTTTAGCCATGAAAGCCAGCTGGGTGACTTTGGGCCAATCATTCTTTCAGCCCAACTCACCTCATAGGGTGGTCATGGGGAAAATAATAGGAGGAAGGTGTGTTGTATATGTTTGCTGCCTTGAATTATTTGTAAAAATAATGCAGGCAGGATACAAATAAATAATACATTCATTATTTATGTTGATTTCTTTTTTATTCTGCTCATTTATATTGTATTTTCACCTCTTACCTATTGGATTATCTCTATTTGGATTAATTTATTCAAAAAATATTTAAGGCACAAAAATAGTCTATCCTCAAATGTGATTGGTAACTCTTTGAATACTATGTAAAGCCCTTTGTGAGTGGATGCATTGTGCTCCAGAATTCGCTACATTTGTGCAGTTATATCAAACCTTTAGATGCTAAAAGTTGTCTTCTATTTTTCTTGATTATTTGTTCTGTCAGCTGTTGCACCTGCATTAATATTTAAATTAGTCCGTAGAACCAAATTCTCCTTGCCAAATTTATTTAAGGCTTTCATGAGTTTTTGTATAAACTTGATTGATTCTGACTTGGTAGGTAGGTAAATAGAGCCTAAGTTATAATTTTAGTATCAAATTTCCCTTTAACAAAAAACAATCTTCCCTGTATGTTTTTGAATTTTTTCTGCATAAGGTCTATATTAGCATAAAATGAGTTGGTTATCCTTGTTGACTTGGTTCTAAAATCTTTAATTTTTTTTGATGTATATATTTTCTGTAACATATAGATTGAAGGATCTTAAGTATTAATTGATTCTAGTCCTTTAATTGAATCACTTAGCCTCCAACATTTAAAAAACCTATCCTTGTCTTGCTTACTATTCTTATATCACTGAAACCTTCGCTACCTTACTAAGTAACACTCATATAATTAAATTTGTGAGGTTATTATGAATTTTCACACTAATTATCCTTTTTGCTCTCATACCGTTTTCCCCCACACATCCCCAGTTCTCTTCTTTATTTACTCCCCCCACCCTCATCTTCT